GTGTCCAAGGTCAGACTTTTGGAACTACAATGTTTACATTTAAAGCAGATGTTTACTTTCACCAACTGTTTTGTAGGGGTGAAAAATCACAATATTCTGTAATGGTCATGATTTCAAATAGTGCCACACTGTTCCCACAGAAAGCAGCACAGAAAACTATTTTTATCTTGGATAAGTCCAAATATATTAAACCCCGATCGCAGCACACCTGTGCACTCAACAACGTAGCTGATAGTAGCTTTAAAAATTAGTACTTTATGTATGTTATATCAAAATAAAAACATGAAAACTTAAAATAAATAATGAACTCAAAAGGTTCGCGTACAACAACTATTTTATATTTCGAATAAAGATTGAACAAGTTGTATATCAATATTCGAAACATAGGACATAATGAAGTGTCATGTAGAGAGATTAGTGAACACAATATCTCTATTCAGTTATCGTCTTGTTATCAGCAAGAGCAAGCTAGATGTTTGTACCGATATTCTCCAGCACTGACGCGGTAGTAGAGTAACGTGACAACACATCTGACAACGTAAGCTACGGCTAAGGCAACGGCACAGCGCTGCACCGCACCGAGGACGCTCACGACACCTTGCGAGTAAAAATTTAACTATTTCCTCCCTCCCCGCACGTCCCTCAGCTGCAGCGGCCTAGCGGCCTCAGTAAGGTATCTGGGGTTATATTATCTGTGGTCATACACACAGTGGCGCTCAGTACAGTCGCTTGTCAGCCGCCGATACTAATATTATCACTTATAATATTAGTGGTACAGGATAAACTTTTGTTTGAATGCTAGTTCATTCGCTATTTCATTCTACAGATCGTCGAGTACGTGACGTTTGTGGTGGTCCGGATGACCGGATGGGCTTGTTTCCACAATGGCACACGGATAATAACCTCTGATATTAATTTGTCTACGTCCATTATTTTATTTCATGTAAGCAAAACAACTTCTAAATAAATCAACTAAAACAAACAACACAACGTATACAAAGAATGCGCAGTGAAGGGTCCCGCGTGGAACTTGCGAACTCGAGAACACGTGGCTGTCAAGTTCTGCTATTTGCGCATGCCCCAGTCGAGCCTTCCCCGCTTGAAGCTCCCAAACAATCGACTTGGCAATTCTTCTAGCTTGCCGCCTAGCTTACTGCTACCCTCTCGGCTACCTGCTAGGTGCGACTGTGTGCGTACCCATAACAACGCGTGCTTTAATTCTACATCGCAGTAAGCGATTAAGCGACCCGCCAGGCTACCAGCTACCTGCCCTGCTCCAATGTGTTTTTACCCTTAGGCCTAGATTTAGGCCTAAGCTATTCTATAATTGATATGAAACTTAGTCTATGTTATATTTTTTTACACTTAAGTTAGACGATTCATCGACGAACATTTAATTTTAAATCTATGAATTAGTTATGAAAGTTACAATGGTTGATTACTGTATTAATTGATGGTTTTGGTTTGTACAACATTACGATTAAATTTGTTTTCCGTGTTTGAGAACTTGCGTGTATTTTAGCTTAATTTTGTAGAGGTTTAATTATTTAGTACCAATTAAACTGAATTTTCAATATTTTTCATGTTTTATTATTTTTTTATACTGATAGCATTTATGTTTAAGATCAAAATCATAAACATTGAATTAATTGGCCATTGTACAGTTCAATAAAAAAACACTTTTTCATTACTTATTAATTGTCTTTTAATTACTTTGGGCTAGTTATCTGTTTAAAGTGGAGTTGATAACAAAAAACAATAACGTTTACCGTATCTTCATTGACACTGATATTTTGAAATACGGCAGTGTACGATTATTTCGTCGTGCAAGGTTGGCAACGCTCCATGCAGTGGGCGCGGCTGGGTTAGCGACTTCCAGAGTTAGCGAATTCCGCCGCGAGACAAAATCGAGTTAGCGGGTTCCGGAGTTAGCCAATTCCTGACTGAGACGGTTAGCCAGTTCCAGAGTTAGCCAGTTCCGACACACGACCGAGTTAGCGAGTTCCTGAGTTAGCCAATTCCTGACTGAGACGGTTAGCCAGTTCCAGAGTTAGCCAGTTCCGACACACGACCGAGTTAGCGAGTTCCGGAGTTAGCCAATTCCTGACTGAGACGGTTAGCCAGTTCCAGAGTTAGCCAGTTCCGACACACGACCGAGTTAGCGAGTTCCTGAGTTAGCCAATTCCTACGTCTCAATCCGATCAATATAGGGGCCTTAAAATAAGAAAAAAAATAGCTGAACCTAGAAATAATTAGAACACAGATAAAACCATTGTAGTTTGATAGTGAAAGGTATTGTGAATGACATATCAAAAGTCTCCAAAAATATCTTTGGTGGAACACCACCATTTTTCCAAAATGGCGGCCAAATCCAGTAGTTTTTTGCTTTTTATTGAGATTCTGACTTTCAGTCAATATTGGTGAAAAGTCGTAAATACATTTAAGGTTCCTCCTGAAATTACCTTTAAAATGATACCAAATACATGTGCCAACAACCAAAAGCAAACCCCGTAGAAATAATAAAATATTTCAAATAATAATATTTTTTATAAATTAATGTAATAGTCCAAGCAAACTAAAAAAAACAGACTCAGGAATCGTATAAAAAATTGCAAGAGAACTTTTTATGGTTTTATTTTTATTGTTGGGTATGCAGAGTAACATACTAAAAGTTGCCAAAAATCAGTCCTCGGGAAACCCCTGAAATAATTATTAAAAATGGCGGTTTTTCCCAACATCGGAATTATTTTGAAAAAAAGGCCACATGCTTTATGGCAAATTTGTCGAGATATTGAGTTAGGACCACCACCAATATTTATTGGGTGGTCAGTACTTCATTTCGATAGTGAACACGTTTTTGGCCGCCATCTTAGATCCGACATATTAAATATAAATATTTTTATATGTAATTATAGTGTTGTGACACATCATTATGAACTAGATTTCCACGCTGATTTCAATGCTGAAATCCGTTTTTAAATACGTTTTTTTTTTTAATATATTATAACGATAACTCTCTACTATACACTACTTATAATTTGAATACTTATTATTATTATTATTAAATTACACTACTTATTATTAGGGACGTTTCGTACTTTGAATAGGTATGTGTTTAGATTATTTTTTCTCAGATTCTTATTGACGTTTGCAGTTTGTTCTAGCCTTTAAATATTCAATGATATAAGAGCTTTTATTTTAGCCATTGATAGTTAAAAGCATCCTAGTTAGAGACGAGGTACAAACCCCAAAACAATATTAAATTTACCTTTTTTTAAATCAGTTTTTATTAAAGATTTATATCTCGGGTTGTTAATATGTCTCCAAGTTCGTTCTAGTATCAAAGTACTCAGTAAAATGTTTGACATTAATTTTATTGATCATTAAATGACACCTGACAAATCTAAAACAAATTATGTAGGCCTACCTTCAATTAACCTTAAAAATTATTTTTTTTAATTTGTCTTTATTTAAAGACATATATATCCCCAATTCCAAATAATTTCTAATAAGGAATCCATAGCTAAAATAAAAGTCAATACTTTAACGAATAGCTACAGTATGAGTTTTTCCCGTTTTCACTCTGCACACCCAACACTACAAAATAAAACCATAAAACGTTTTGTTACAATTTTTTAAGGCCATATCCTATATTTATGAAAATATAATTTTCAAATTACACAGTTACAGTTATTTATAAGAATGCACTAAATTTGATTAAATACATAAATTTACATTTTGTATTAAAAAAAGTACACATACAATTTGTTTGTCATCGCCCATCTTTTGGCATCCACACTTACTGCCACAACCAGAATGACGTTTTCAGTGGATAATATAGAAGGTAGTGCTGGTGGCTTGTGTGTCTCTTAAAGGGTGGATGTACCACCAGTCAAACACCACACCCAATCTGTTGGATATGCTGGTGAACTATTTCCACGCCATACTTAAACCTGATGGTACACCCTTAGGCTGTGGTAGTTTACAAAGTTTTTTTAAATTGTCAAAGTACAAAACGTCTATAAGAAATGTATGGGGGAGAGTTTTCGTTTTTATATATCTTTATATAGAAAAAGGCTATTTAAACCCGGATTTCAGCATTGAAATCAGCTTGGAAATCTAGTTCATAAAGATGTGTCTTCACACTTTAATTACATTAAAAAACATTTATATCCAATATAGCAGATCCAAAGATGGCGGCCAATAAAACACCCCTTATCGAAATTAAGTACCGACCATCCAATAAATATCGGTGGTGGTCCTAAGTCAATATCTTGAAAAATGTGCAATAAAACCATGTGGTATCTTTTTTGAAAAACTTTTCCAATGTTGGGAAAAGCTGCCATTTTTTAAATTAATTTAGGGGTTACCCGAGGACTGATTTTTGCCAACGTTTAGTATATTAATCTGCATACTCAAAAATAAAAATAAAACCATAAAAAGTTGTCTTGACATTTTTTATACGATCCCTGAGTCTGTTTTTTTTTGCTTGCTTGGACTATTACATTAATTTATAAAAAATATTATTATTTGAAATATTTTATTTTTTCTACGGGTTTATTTTTGGTTGTAGGTACATGTATTTGGTATCATTTTAAAGGTAATTTCAGATCGAACATTAAATGTATTTACGACTTTTCACCAATATTGACTGGAAAGTCAGAATTTCAATAAAAACCAAAAAACTACTGAATTTGGCCGCCATTTTGGAAAAATGGTGGTGTTCCACCAAAGATATTTTTGGAGACTTTTGATATGTTATTCACAATACCTTTCACTATCAAACTACAATGGTTTCATCTGTGTTCTAATTGTTTCTAGGTCAAACCATATATTCAGGGGCCTAATAGGTCAGATAGAGTAGATAATGATTTTAAAAGAAATGTTGACACAATAAAAAAAACTATTTTGCTCTAAAGGTATTATAATAACTGGCACTCATTGACTGTAAAAAAAATTTAAGGGATGGTTTTAAATCTTTATATTGATCAATTTTACAGAGCAAGGTGATCCGAGTGCTAAACTTGTGGCAGAAGAACAACGTTTTTGATTCGGAACAGATTCAGCCATTGTTTGATTTGGCGGATCCTAACCATCCGATTCACAAGGAACAGCAGGCTCTGGCTCCCAGCAACGGAATTGCCCCCGCCAACGCCAATACTACACCAAAGAATGGTAATACTCTAAACTTGTTAGATTCACATTGATTATAAAGCTGTGTCTTTGATAAGGCATATAAAAATCTACAAAACTAACCTTAAAGTCTAAAGAATTGTATTTTGGAATGTTTTTAGTTTCAGTCAAGGAGTCCGGGAGTGCTGGATGGGTCAACCAACTTAACTCAGACTCACACTCAACTGTCCAACAGAAAGCTCCTGTAAGTTACTTCTGCAATGCCACTCACTTTTTCTGTAGATTATAAGTAATGTGTAAATTGAATTAAAAAAGACAAAAAATATTTGGTGAAAAAAGAGAAAAAAATGATGTAACTAATTCAGTTTGTTCAGCTGACTGAGAAACTGGGTTTGAGATATATAAACCACACTTACAACTCAAGAAAACAATTTAAACTTATTTTATTAATGGTACGTGTTATTATTTTTATTTTAGAACAGTTACTTATTTGTTTGTAGTTTAAGTATAAATTTACACAATTCATTGTTATTTAAAAGTATATTCATGAATAATGTATAAAGTTTGGTTTGATTTTATGTATTTTATTTTTCAAACTGCTATGGTTAAAAAGGATTAGGGTTAACCTAGAAATTTTGAATTTGGTATTGAGTTTTAAATTTGATTTTAATGGCTTGCTGGTCCCTGTAAATGTGAATTCCTTATGTGTCAAAACCATTTTGTAGCAGGCCTGCCTTTTACAAAATATTTGCATACATTTTTGATCCTCAAAAGCTGGACTGTTAACATTTGTTTGCCAATTTGAGCTGGTGAATTTGAATAAATTAATAGCTAATGAAGTCTGACATTCAAATCATTATATATTTGATTCTGTATTATGCCTAGTTTGCCACGTATTTATTAAAAAACTCGTATACCAACAATACTTTTTTACAAAACTGTTGTAGTTGCATACAAACAGGGCACCTGTGAATAGTTTTGAGATAAAATAAATTGTTTAGGGACCTTTTTAAGTTTCAGTGACCAGTCCAATTCTGCAGTCGTTACAGTCTATCTTAGTGATTATTAAATAGGGAAGTAAGTAGACTTTTCTTGGGTCAAGGCGACTTTCGGATTTATTTACTATTCAACGTTTCGTACTTTGAATAGGTATGTGTTTAGATTATTTTTTCTCAGATTCTTATTGACGTTTGCAGTTTGTTCTAGCCTTTAAATATTCAATGATATAAGAGCTTTTATTTTAGCCATTGATAGTTAAAAGCATCCTAGTTAGAGACGAGGTACAAACCCCAAAACAATATTAAATTTACCTTTTTTTAAATCAGTTTTTATTAAAGATTTATATCTCGGGTTGTTAATATGTCTCCAAGTTCGTTCTAGTATCAAAGTACTCAGTAAAATGTTTGACATTAATTTTATTGATCATTAAATGACACCTGACAAATCTAAAACAAATTATGTAGGCCTACCTTCAATTAACCTTAAAAATTATTTTTTTAAATTTGTCTTTATTTAAAGACATATATATCCCCAATTCCAAATAATTTCTAATAAGGAATCCATAGCTAAAATAAAAGTCAATACTTTAACGAATAGCTACAGTATGAGTTTTTCCCGTTTTCACTCTGCACACCCAACACTACAAAATAAAACCATAAAACGTTTTGTTACAATTTTTTAAGGCCATATCCTATATTTATGAAAATATAATTTTCAAATTACACAGTTACAGTTATTTATAAGAATGCACTAAATTTGATTAAATACATAAATTTACATTTTGTATTAAAAAAAGTACACATACAATTTGTTTGTCATCGCCCATCTTTTGGCATCCACACTTACTGCCACAACCAGAATGACGTTTTCAGTGGATAATATAGAAGGTAGTGCTGGTGGCTTGTGTGTCTCTTAAAGGGTGGATGTACCACCAGTCAAACACCACACCCAATCTGTTGGATATGCTGGTGAACTATTTCCACGCCATACTTAAACCTGATGGTACACCCTTAGGCTGTGGTAGTTTACAAAGTTTTTTTAAATTGTCAAAGTACAAAACGTCTATAAGAAATGTATGGGGGAGAGTTTTCGTTTTTATATATCTTTATATAGAAAAAGGCTATTTAAACCCGGATTTCAGCATTGAAATCAGCTTGGAAATCTAGTTCATAAAGATGTGTCTTCACACTTTAATTACATTAAAAAACATTTATATCCAATATAGCAGATCCAAAGATGGCAGCCAATAAAACACCCCTTATCGAAATTAAGTACCGACCATCCAATAAATATCGGTGGTGGTCCTAAGTCAATATCTTGAAAAATGTGCAATAAAACCATGTGGTATCTTTTTTGAAAAACTTTTCCAATGTTGGGAAAAGCTGCCATTTTTTAAATTAATTTAGGGGTTACCCGAGGACTGATTTTTGCCAACGTTTAGTATATTAATCTGCATACTCAAAAATAAAAATAAAACCATAAAAAGTTGTCTTGACATTTTTTATACGATCCCTGAGTCTGTTTTTTTTTGCTTGCTTGGACTATTACATTAATTTATAAAAAATATTATTATTTGAAATATTTTATTTTTTCTACGGGTTTATTTTTGGTTGTAGGTACATGTATTTGGTATCATTTTAAAGGTAATTTCAGATCGAACATTAAATGTATTTACGACTTTTCACCAATATTGACTGGAAAGTCAGAATTTCAATAAAAACCAAAAAACTACTGAATTTGGCCGCCATTTTGGAAAAATGGTGGTGTTCCACCAAAGATATTTTTGGAGACTTTTGATATGTTATTCACAATACCTTTCACTATCAAACTACAATGGTTTCATCTGTGTTCTAATTGTTTCTAGGTCAAACCATATATTCAGGGGCCTAATAGGTCAGATAGAGTAGATAATGATTTTAAAAGAAATGTTGACACAATAAAAAAAACTATTTTGCTCTAAAGGTATTATAATAACTGGCACTCATTGACTGTAAAAAAAATTTAAGGGATGGTTTTAAATCTTTATATTGATCAATTTTACAGAGCAAGGTGATCCGAGTGCTAAACTTGTGGCAGAAGAACAACGTTTTTGATTCGGAACAGATTCAGCCATTGTTTGATTTGGCGGATCCTAACCATCCGATTCACAAGGAACAGCAGGCTCTGGCTCCCAGCAACGGAATTGCCCCCGCCAACGCCAATACTACACCAAAGAATGGTAATACTCTAAACTTGTTAGATTCACATTGATTATAAAGCTGTGTCTTTGATAAGGCATATAAAAATCTACAAAACTAACCTTAAAGTCTAAAGAATTGTATTTTGGAATGTTTTTAGTTTCAGTCAAGGAGTCCGGGAGTGCTGGATGGGTCAACCAACTTAACTCAGACTCACACTCAACTGTCCAACAGAAAGCTCCTGTAAGTTACTTCTGCAATGCCACTCACTTTTTCTGTAGATTATAAGTAATGTGTAAATTGAATTAAAAAAGACAAAAAATATTTGGTGAAAAAAGAGAAAAAAATGATGTAACTAATTCAGTTTGTTCAGCTGACTGAGAAACTGGGTTTGAGATATATAAACCACACTTACAACTCAAGAAAACAATTTAAACTTATTTTATTAATGGTACGTGTTATTATTTTTATTTTAGAACAGTTACTTATTTGTTTGTAGTTTAAGTATAAATTTACACAATTCATTGTTATTTAAAAGTATATTCATGAATAATGTATAAAGTTTGGTTTGATTTTATGTATTTTATTTTTCAAACTGCTATGGTTAAAAAGGATTAGGGTTAACCTAGAAATTTTGAATTTGGTATTGAGTTTTAAATTTGATTTTAATGGCTTGCTGGTCCCTGTAAATGTGAATTCCTTATGTGTCAAAACCATTTTGTAGCAGGCCTGCCTTTTACAAAATATTTGCATACATTTTTGATCCTCAAAAGCTGGACTGTTAACATTTGTTTGCCAATTTGAGCTGGTGAATTTGAATAAATTAATAGCTAATGAAGTCTGACATTCAAATCATTATATATTTGATTCTGTATTATGCCTAGTTTGCCACGTATTTATTAAAAAACTCGTATACCAACAATACTTTTTTACAAAACTGTTGTAGTTGCATACAAACAGGGCACCTGTGAATAGTTTTGAGATAAAATAAATTGTTTAGGGACCTTTTTAAGTTTCAGTGACCAGTCCAATTCTGCAGTCGTTACAGTCTATCTTAGTGATTATTAAATAGGGAAGTAAGTAGACTTTTCTTGGGTCAAGGCGACTTTCGGATTTATTTACTATTCAACGTTTCGTACTTTGAATAGGTATGTGTTTAGATTATTTTTTCTCAGATTCTTATTGACGTTTGCAGTTTGTTCTAGCCTTTAAATATTCAATGATATAAGAGCTTTTATTTTAGCCATTGATAGTTAAAAGCATCCTAGTTAGAGACGAGGTACAAACCCCAAAACAATATTAAATTTACCTTTTTTTAAATCAGTTTTTATTAAAGATTTATATCTCGGGTTGTTAATATGTCTCCAAGTTCGTTCTAGTATCAAAGTACTCAGTAAAATGTTTGACATTAATTTTATTGATCATTAAATGACACCTGACAAATCTAAAACAAATTATGTAGGCCTACCTTCAATTAACCTTAAAAATTATTTTTTTTAATTTGTCTTTATTTAAAGACATATATATCCCCAATTCCAAATAATTTCTAATAAGGAATCCATAGCTAAAATAAAAGTCAATACTTTAACGAATAGCTACAGTATGAGTTTTTCCCGTTTTCACTCTGCACACCCAACACTACAAAATAAAACCATAAAACGTTTTGTTACAATTTTTTAAGGCCATATCCTATATTTATGAAAATATAATTTTCAAATTACACAGTTACAGTTATTTATAAGAATGCACTAAATTTGATTAAATACATAAATTTACATTTTGTATTAAAAAAAGTACACATACAATTTGTTTGTCATCGCCCATCTTTTGGCATCCACACTTACTGCCACAACCAGAATGACGTTTTCAGTGGATAATATAGAAGGTAGTGCTGGTGGCTTGTGTGTCTCTTAAAGGGTGGATGTACCACCAGTCAAACACCACACCCAATCTGTTGGATATGCTGGTGAACTATTTCCACGCCATACTTAAACCTGATGGTACACCCTTAGGCTGTGGTAGTTTACAAAGTTTTTTTAAATTGTCAAAGTACAAAACGTCTATAAGAAATGTATGGGGGAGAGTTTTCGTTTTTATATATCTTTATATAGAAAAAGGCTATTTAAACCCGGATTTCAGCATTGAAATCAGCTTGGAAATCTAGTTCATAAAGATGTGTCTTCACACTTTAATTACATTAAAAAACATTTATATCCAATATAGCAGATCCAAAGATGGCGGCCAATAAAACACCCCTTATCGAAATTAAGTACCGACCATCCAATAAATATCGGTGGTGGTCCTAAGTCAATATCTTGAAAAATGTGCAATAAAACCATGTGGTATCTTTTTTGAAAAACTTTTCCAATGTTGGGAAAAGCTGCCATTTTTTAAATTAATTTAGGGGTTACCCGAGGACTGATTTTTGCCAACGTTTAGTATATTAATCTGCATACTCAAAAATAAAAATAAAACCATAAAAAGTTGTCTTGACATTTTTTATACGATCCCTGAGTCTGTTTTTTTTTGCTTGCTTGGACTATTACATTAATTTATAAAAAATATTATTATTTGAAATATTTTATTTTTTCTACGGGTTTATTTTTGGTTGTAGGTACATGTATTTGGTATCATTTTAAAGGTAATTTCAGATCGAACATTAAATGTATTTACGACTTTTCACCAATATTGACTGGAAAGTCAGAATTTCAATAAAAACCAAAAAACTACTGAATTTGGCCGCCATTTTGGAAAAATGGTGGTGTTCCACCAAAGATATTTTTGGAGACTTTTGATATGTTATTCACAATACCTTTCACTATCAAACTACAATGGTTTCATCTGTGTTCTAATTGTTTCTAGGTCAAACCATATATTCAGGGGCCTAATAGGTCAGATAGAGTAGATAATGATTTTAAAAGAAATGTTGACACAATAAAAAAAACTATTTTGCTCTAAAGGTATTATAATAACTGGCACTCATTGACTGTAAAAAAAATTTAAGGGATGGTTTTAAATCTTTATATTGATCAATTTTACAGAGCAAGGTGATCCGAGTGCTAAACTTGTGGCAGAAGAACAACGTTTTTGATTCGGAACAGATTCAGCCATTGTTTGATTTGGCGGATCCTAACCATCCGATTCACAAGGAACAGCAGGCTCTGGCTCCCAGCAACGGAATTGCCCCCGCCAACGCCAATACTACACCAAAGAATGGTAATACTCTAAACTTGTTAGATTCACATTGATTATAAAGCTGTGTCTTTGATAAGGCATATAAAAATCTACAAAACTAACCTTAAAGTCTAAAGAATTGTATTTTGGAATGTTTTTAGTTTCAGTCAAGGAGTCCGGGAGTGCTGGATGGGTCAACCAACTTAACTCAGACTCACACTCAACTGTCCAACAGAAAGCTCCTGTAAGTTACTTCTGCAATGCCACTCACTTTTTCTGTAGATTATAAGTAATGTGTAAATTGAATTAAAAAAGACAAAAAATATTTGGTAAAAAAAGAGAAAAAAATGATGTAACTAATTCAGTTTGTTCAGCTGACTGAGAAACTGGGTTTGAGATATATAAACCACACTTACAACTCAAGAAAACAATTTAAACTTATTTTATTAATGGTACGTGTTATTATTTTTATTTTAGAACAGTTACTTATTTGTTTGTAGTTTAAGTATAAATTTACACAATTCATTGTTATTTAAAAGTATATTCATGAATAATGTATAAAGTTTGGTTTGATTTTATGTATTTTATTTTTCAAACTGCTATGGTTAAAAAGGATTAGGGTTAACCTAGAAATTTTGAATTTGGTATTGAGTTTTAAATTTGATTTTAATGGCTTGCTGGTCCCTGTAAATGTGAATTCCTTATGTGTCAAAACCATTTTGTAGCAGGCCTGCCTTTTACAAAATATTTGCATACATTTTTGATCCTCAAAAGCTGGACTGTTAACATTTGTTTGCCAATTTGAGCTGGTGAATTTGAATAAATTAATAGCTAATGAAGTCTGACATTCAAATCATTATATATTTGATTCTGTATTATGCCTAGTTTGCCACGTATTTATTAAAAAACTCGTATACCAACAATACTTTTTTACAAAACTGTTGTAGTTGCATACAAACAGGGCACCTGTGAATAGTTTTGAGATAAAATAAATTGTTTAGGGACCTTTTTAAGTTTCAGTGACCAGTCCAATTCTGCAGTCGTTACAGTCTATCTTAGTGATTATTAAATAGGGAAGTAAGTAGACTTTTCTTGGGTCAAGGCGACTTTCGGATTTATTTACTATTCAACGTTTCGTACTTTGAATAGGTATGTGTTTAGATTATTTTTTCTCAGATTCTTATTGACGTTTGCAGTTTGTTCTAGCCTTTAAATATTCAATGATATAAGAGCTTTTATTTTAGCCATTGATAGTTAAAAGCATCCTAGTTAGAGACGAGGTACAAACCCCAAAACAATATTAAATTTACCTTTTTTTAAATCAGTTTTTATTAAAGATTTATATCTCGGGTTGTTAATATGTCTCCAAGTTCGTTCTAGTATCAAAGTACTCAGTAAAATGTTTGACATTAATTTTATTGATCATTAAATGACACCTGACAAATCTAAAACAAATTATGTAGGCCTACCTTCAATTAACCTTAAAAATTATTTTTTTTAATTTGTCTTTATTTAAAGACATATATATCCCCAATTCCAAATAATTTCTAATAAGGAATCCATAGCTAAAATAAAAGTCAATACTTTAACGAATAGCTACAGTATGAGTTTTTCCCGTTTTCACTCTGCACACCCAACACTACAAAATAAAACCATAAAACGTTTTGTTACAATTTTTTAAGGCCATATCCTATATTTATGAAAATATAATTTTCAAATTACACAGTTACAGTTATTTATAAGAATGCACTAAATTTGATTAAATACATAAATTTACATTTTGTATTAAAAAAAGTACACATACAATTTGTTTGTCATCGCCCATCTTTTGGCATCCACACTTACTGCCACAACCAGAATGACGTTTTCAGTGGATAATATAGAAGGTAGTGCTGGTGGCTTGTGTGTCTCTTAAAGGGTGGATGTACCACCAGTCAAACACCACACCCAATCTGTTGGATATGCTGGTGAACTATTTCCACGCCATACTTAAACCTGATGGTACACCCTTAGGCTGTGGTAGTTTACAAAGTTTTTTTAAATTGTCAAAGTACAAAACGTCTATAAGAAATGTATGGGGGAGAGTTTTCGTTTTTATATATCTTTATATAGAAAAAGGCTATTTAAACCCGGATTTCAGCATTGAAATCAGCTTGGAAATCTAGTTCATAAAGATGTGTCTTCACACTTTAATTACATTAAAAAACATTTATATCCAATATAGCAGATCCAAAGATGGCGGCCAATAAAACACCCCTTATCGAAATTAAGTACCGACCATCCAATAAATATCGGTGGTGGTCCTAAGTCAATATCTTGAAAAATGTGCAATAAAACCATGTGGTATCTTTTTTGAAAAACTTTTCCAATGTTGGGAAAAGCTGCCATTTTTTAAATTAATTTAGGGGTTACCCGAGGACTGATTTTTGCCAACGTTTAGTATATTAATCTGCATACTCAAAAATAAAAATAAAACCATAAAAAGTTGTCTTGACATTTTTTATACGATCCCTGAGTCTGTTTTTTTTTTGCTTGCTTGGACTATTACATTAATTTATAAAAAATATTATTATTTGAAATATTTTATTTTTTCTACGGGTTTATTTTTGGTTGTAGGTACATGTATTTGGTATCATTTTAAAGGTAATTTCAGATCGAACATTAAATGTATTTACGACTTTTCACCAATATTGACTGGAAAGTCAGAATTTCAATAAAAACCAAAAAACTACTGAATTTGGCCGCCATTTTGGAAAAATGGTGGTGTTCCACCAAAGATATTTTTGGAGACTTTTGATATGTTATTCACAATACCTTTCACTATCAAACTACAATGGTTTCATCTGTGTTCTAATTGTTTCTAGGTCAAACCATATATTCAGGGGCCTAATAGGTCAGATAGAGTAGATAATGATTTTAAAAGAAATGTTGACACAATAAAAAAAACTATTTTGCTCTAAAGGTATTATAATAACTGGCACTCATTGACTGTAAAAAAAATTTAAGGGATGGTTTTAAATCTTTATATTGATCAATTTTACAGAGCAAGGTGATCCGAGTGCTAAACTTGTGGCAGAAGAACAACGTTTTTGATTCGGAACAGATTCAGCCATTGTTTGATTTGGCGGATCCTAACCATCCGATTCACAAGGAACAGCAGGCTCTGGCTCCCAGCAACGGAATTGCCCCCGCCAACGCCAATACTACACCAAAGAATGGTAATACTCTAAACTTGTTAGATTCACATTGATTATAAAGCTGTGTCTTTGATAAGGCATATAAAAATCTACAAAACTAACCTTAAAGTCTAAAGAATTGTATTTTGGAATGTTTTTAGTTTCAGTCAAGGAGTCCGGGAGTGCTGGATGGGTCAACCAACTTAACTCAGACTCACACTCAACTGTCCAACAGAAAGCTCCTGTAAGTTACTTCTGCAATGCCACTCACTTTTTCTGTAGATTATAAGTAATGTGTAAATTGAATTAAAAAAGACAAAAAATATTTGGTGAAAAAAGAGAAAAAAATGATGTAACTAATTCAGTTTGTTCAGCTGACTGAGAAACTGGGTTTGAGATATATAAACCACACTTACAACTCAAGAAAACAATTTAAACTTATTTTATTAATGGTACGTGTTATTATTTTTATTTTAGAACAGTTACTTATTTGTTTGTAGTTTAAGTATAAATTTACACAATTCATTGTTATTTAAAAGTATATTCATGAATAATGTATAAAGTTTGGTTTGATTTTATGTATTTTATTTTTCAAACTGCTATGGTTAAAAAGGATTAGGGTTAACCTAGAAATTTTGAATTTGGTATTGAGTTTTAAATTTGATTTTAATGGCTTGCTGGTCCCTGTAAATGTGAATTCCTTATGTGTCAAAACCATTTTGTAGCAGGCCTGCCTTTTACAAAATATTTGCATACATTTTTGATCCTCAAAAGCTGGACTGTTAACATTTGTTTGCCAATTTGAGCTGGTGAATTTGAATAAATTAATAGCTAATGAAGTCTGACATTCAAATCATTATATATTTGATTCTGTATTATGCCTAGTTTGCCACGTATTTATTAAAAAACTCGTATACCAACAATACTTTTTTACAAAACTGTTGTAGTTGCATACAAACAGGGCACCTGTGAATAGTTTTGAGATAAAATAAATTGTTTAGGGACCTTTTTAAGTTTCAGTGACCAGTCCAATTCTGCAGTCGTTACAGTCTATCTTAGTGATTATTAAATAGGGAAGTAAGTAGACTTTTCTTGGGTCAAGGCGACTTTCGGATTTATTTACTATTCAACCTTTCCTATGAGTTGGGATTATGAAGAGCAACTGTATTTCTGTAGTTGTATTAACACGTACTGTATTATGTTGCAGACCCCGGGACAACAACAACTGCAACAGTTGCAGACTATGTTGCTGGACCAACAGGCTGACAACAAGACTAAATCTGCAGAGTCCGATCAGGTAATCTTTTAAACTTCATTTAGGTTAATGATCAGCCTCCGAATCACTGATCAAATATTAACCGGTTTAATGACCTCATCTGCCAAGTGAGTGTAAAGAGGCTACCAGTTCTGATTTACATAAAGATACAAATGTCATTTTATCCTTCATTCCGAAGTCGTTGGGCTAAGAAAACATTGACCCCACGTGACAATTAATAACAAAGCGGGTAATTGTGCACAGTAGTTGAGACTAAGTGAGATTTAAATCCAGCCCAATCAAGAATAGCTGGGCCAGGTTTAGAACCATCAAAAGCTCACAACACTGAGCTGAAGATACGACAACCAAAATATCTTGGATATTTTTATTTATGGTGAAAGAATAGAGTGCAGTATTTTGTGTTACAATGAAAGTTATAGAAACATGTGGTAAATGTAATTTTATGAAATAGAGTATTTTAAGACAAACATGGAAGTAAAATGCCTTTGTAGTGTTCATAAAGAAAGATTAGATGATCAAAGCTTATTAACTTTGAGATCAAAGCTCTGTAATTTTTTCAAGAGAAATGTAATCGACATTATCTCAAGCAAAACTAATAGTTCGGTGATTTTTTTGCGTCATGGAAGACAGACACCTAAATTATCAGTATTTAGGCCTATATTGTTTTTAGCAGTTTATTATCTCCATTTTTACTCTTTTTTCCCCTTTAATATATCAGTAAAATCTTAAATTATAGACAAAAGAATTAAATATATATGGCTGGTTCTTTTAGCGAATTTCCCTATAGGGAAGTAGCTATTACCGTAGGTGGCACGGTAAGACCTAGACCCGGGACCGATTTACTTTTTCATTTTGATGTCCCCAGAGGCCAAAAACACCATTCGTTCAAATTTTTATATATGTATATATATATAGACATATATATATATATATATATATATACGTCCGTGAACGCGATAACTTGAGTAATTTTTGTCCGATTTTGATGAAATTTGGTTTAAAGGTGTAAAGCGGGATAAACTTGAATGAGTTCGCGAACCAGCACGATCGGACCATGGGAACGGGGCTTTACGGGGGGTTTTATGGGGTAAAAATTGGTTTTTCTCACTTTTGACCCTCAAAACACCAAATTTCCCGATTTCTCTTTAGACCTTTTTAAAGAGCTTAAAAAAACAAATAATTTAGTATATAAAAGTATTTTTGTTCGATTATTAGTAACGGAGAAAATTAAAAAAACTGTAAATTTAAAATTCCCATGTTATTCTTATGGAGAATATTGTCAAATGTTGTAGTTTGCTTGTTTATGGATATATTTTGATCAAACTTGGCAAATTTATTTATTTTGTACTAAGCTATCAATATTTTACTCAAAAACACACTTTATTAGTTTCCTTGTAGCAGCAAACCTAGGTACTCGTTAAACCTAATGTTATTAAAATATATTTAACTAAAAATCAATTAAGACAAATGGAAATTCGCTTAGTCGGCAGGTTTGCTGCGGCGGGGGTATTTCAAAATTCCAATTTTCTGCTTTTGGTATTTCTGAACTTTCTAGACTTTTCTTCAAAACGTATTTAAACTATTCCTACGAAAATAATAAACAAGAAAATACCTTTAAAGCATTTTTTTTAAGGCGCGGAATTCACTGCAAATTGCTAAAATATACGGAACTACTTTCTCAATGCGCGGAGCATATCGCACGATGACTACTTACTCTTGGGCACCTATTTGTGTTGCCAGCTGGTTAGAAATAAGGATTCAATAAGCGATATATCGAACCGCATCGAAATCGATATTTAATCCGATAATAACTCATAGGTTATATGTTGAATTACGTACATCGACGGTACAAGTTATTACACTTATTAATAAACGCAGATTGAACACTGATCTAATTTAGGCGTGTGGGGAAGGCAGGTCGTGGTTTATGAGAATTCGTGGCTCCATTAAGTGTTTTGAAGTAAGGTTAGATTAGGAAGGTAAAGTGTAGGTTATAGGTAATCGGGTCGTTTATTTATGTTGCACCATATTGTTTTTTATATTTTGGAATAGTTTGTTAAACGGGGAAACAATTTCAAAAATGCTTGCAATAACCTACACTTTAACTTACCTAATCTAAACTTACTTCAAAGGACTTAATGGAGCCACGAATTTTCATAAACCACGACCTGTCTTCCCCACACGCCTTTTCTGCTGTAAAACCAATTTATGTAACCATACAGCACGTTGGTTAGGTTAGGTTAGTTTAGAATAGAAAAATATCATTTTATTTTCATGCGATTAAAAATTACCGTAAAATTGACAATCAATATTAAATCAATGGTCAGCTGGTAACGCGAATCATTCTATGAGCCCAAAAGAAAGTAGTCACCAGTCAGTATCACTCCGCGCCTCGTTCCTCGGCAAGCGATGTGCTCCGCGACTTGAAAAAATAGTTCAATTATCAATTATAAATTATTTAAGATGGGGACGCCACTATGTGCGTATTTTAACCCAAATATGAGTGAAGGATGAGTGTAGGATGAGTGGTGCGATCTTGTAGTCTTGTTAGTGACTAAGGCCGACATGTTCCTTAGACACAGCTGTTAATTAATAGCCCATACAGCCAATGGCAACTAAGGGACCTACAGTTTATAGTGGAATCCGAACCACATTTTTTTCCTTGTAATTTACCATTTATTTATTTACTAGCTGCAGTGCCCATTGTAGTTAAATACAACAGTCTCTAAAATAATGGTTATGAAATCCATACACCACTTTACTCACTAATATTAATGGTCCAGATTAAGCACATAAGATTAGAATCACACATTTAACATAAGGAACACACTTTAAACACAAATGCAAATTGTTAAAACAACGTTTAATCAAAGAAAAATCAATTAGATAACAATATAACAATAAGCTGTTGAATTATTAACACATGTTTCGTATGATTAGATTGTGCATACTGGTAAACCAATTATTGCCATCTATAAAATTATTGGTTTTTCTTTTCCGAGTCGCGTGAGCGCTTTTACCCAACCGATTTTCATAATTTTGGCCTTAAACTAAAGGTATGGACGTACCACAGATTTGCCATTAAGCATCGGCATTCATTTTGACGTATATTTTGAAAGAATTTAAATTTGATTTTTTTCACTTCAATTAAAGATGTATTCCAGCAGTTATAATTATAGCCTATATGTTTTGGTCTAAAACCCTTTAGTGAAATACCAGCTTCTATTTGATTTATTGATTATTAAGATCGGACGTTTCTAAAGCACATAGCTAAACCATGAACAACACAAATTGTAAAAAAAATGTAGTTATTTATTATCGATTTATAGTCAAACGATCTTGCTTGCAACCTCAACAGTAACCGTCGACTATGACGGGTTTCACCTAGTAAATCTTTAAAAAAATGCACTTGCAAATCTACACAAATTAAGCTTTCCAATGACCTATTAATTAACAAAATCGGTTCAGTAGAACTGTAGATTTAATTGTACAAAGTTTAACAACAACATCTCTAATTCAGTATTTGCTCACCACTATAAATTGGGAGGTTGCTTAACGTTGTTGCAAATAACTTTGAAACGGTGAGGAAATCGACCAAAGTGGAAGGTGATATTCTGAAAGAGAATAAAATTTCCTACAAATTACTATCATGTATTTCTTGAAAATACTCAATAAAGGCAGCCTAAAGTTGGCTGCAAATATAAACTTGGAAATATAAACTTGGAAATATAAACTTGGAAAAAAATGAGTTTTAAATGTATTATTGTTTATTTTTATTTTTTCAACTCAAATATCTAATAAAATCAAACTTTCATAATTATTTGCAAATCCACACAAATTAGGCTTTCCAACGACCCATTAAGTAACAAAATCGGTCCGGTAGAAGTCTAGGTTCAGGTTGTACAAAGTTTTACAAAAATACATCTAATTCAGTATTTTCTCACCACTATAAATTTGGAGATCACTTAGATTATTGCCAATGTTCGATATGGGAGTTGATTAGAGTTGAGAAAAACAGTGTCACATACCTTTTTAATGAGAAAATCCAACATTGGAAGGTAGCAGGGGGAATGGGGATTGGGTGAGCTCACCACGCTGAGGGACACACAAGAAGATCTGGAAGTTCTGATGCACTACACACACTCGAAAGGGAGAATTTAGTGTTATTATTCACTGTAGAAAATAAATTATACTTATAGTTTGTTTACGCCAATACCACAGTTGTAAAAGAACAACAAAGTTTACATAATTTAGAGTTTTATAATAAAAAACCCACTGCTGCAGGTACTAGGTTTTTTTATGCTCTGCCTAAAGATTTAATAGAAATTAATAATATTAAGACATTTAAAAAGAAATTGAAAATATTTATATTAAGCAAATGTTACTACTCATTTAGTGAGCATTTTGATAGTATTTTATAGAATTAATTGTATTTATTGACGCCATTCTGCATTTATATTTGTAAAATGTAAATCTTGAATAAAGTGTTTCTGAATCTGAATCTGAATCTGAAAACAATCATCGTCCATCTGGCAACACTGATTAAAGTGGAACTGATCTTTTCTTTCTGCCAAGACCCATAAAGATTCATTCAATGCTTTATTTCAACTTACTGTATCGTTATCGAGACGTATTGTAGACTGTTGACTGTTGTAGGAAAGTGAAAGTCTGTTAGTAGTCCTCTTGCTAGCTCTGCCGAATGACGATGGGTGTTTGTTGAACATTTGGTTTACGCTGGTCTAACCTATATGAGGTTATATAGTTGTTTTTTGTAGGAATGGGGATTAAATTAAGGCATCAACACAAAAAAAAATATAATTTATTAAATATGGATGTAGAAAATCGTGAAATGGCAATATTTATAACTACTCGACTCGAATTTTCGAGTAGTAATTACTACTCGACTCGAGGTCGAGTATTTGAAAAAACTCGAGTAATTACTCGAAGGTAGAGTACTCGCCCACCCCTAATTAATTTACATTTATAACTGCTGTGAACTATGCCACAACGGGTTTTAGATGAGTTTAAATAAGCTGTGATTTTAAACGTTATAGTTTGTGCAACTGAACTAAGGTAAACGACTTGAAATGCCATGATTGTCCAATATTATATTTTGTTGATGAAAAATGCAGATTGTGAAATTAATTTAGTTCTTTAAACATGATAACAGTGCTTTTATAGGTTTATCATATTTTTTTAAAGTTTTTTAACTTTGTTTTTATCATCCGGGGTCTCCCTCCACCCTATTACCCTGGATAGTTGATATCCTACTTTACAATAGTGTAAAGTATTGTAGCATATACTACTTAATTGTGCTTTAACAAGGTCAAACCTCGACCTATATTGACCGATAATGTTTTGTGAACCTTGATTTTGCAAAATTCTTACAAACTCAACCGCAGTATAATGAACCTCGTTTTAACGAAATCCTTGATATAACGGATATTCAGTTTGGTCCCTTTACATTTGTTACACCTTAACATGTGTTGGGGGTATACTGTAATAAGACTTGTTGTATACATTATTAATTTTCTTAGATTGTAAGTGATTGGAAAAAAAACTTTATATGGATTGAATTTGGATCCACGATAGATATGCTAGTCCAAAATAAAATATAAGTAAAAACTAAATATTCTTAAGTGATCTTCAATGCTGGAATTTTTAATATTGTTTCCAGATTGAAGGGAAAATGGAAGACATTCAAAACAATAACTCACAACTAGACGATTTAAAACAGCAGCTTACAAAACTAATCAAGGATTGTGAAGAACTATACACCACCTACAATGAGAAAAGAAATAAGGTAAAATTATCTGTTGATCTATTGTTATTTAAGATTATTTTGTTATAAAATATAGTGGCGTAGTTAATGAATATGTTGTCATTTATTCCATCTTTAAACAATACAATAATATAATTCATTATATTAAAGCAAGTTGTCAATATGCTTAACGTGGTAACTAGGGGTCTGTGGTACAGAAAATTTAAGGTTAGTAAGCCTCGGTTCTCGGTACAAAATCGGTAGGTTACGGGGCTACCAGTATTTTTGCCTTTTTCCTTTTAGAATTGTATTAAACCCACATTACCTATTTTAAATTTTAATACATTGACATTACTATGAAAATGGATTTGATACATTCATAGTTTTCTGACAAATTACTGTACCACACATAATTAAAATCTTTTACTCCTAACAGGATTGTGTCAAGAAAGAAACATAGTTAAGATTAAGGCTTTACCTGTTTTACTACCAAGATAAGGCATAGCCATGATAAAGTGGTTTTAAAATTAGGTTAAACATTTCTAGGAATAGACATTTTTGAAGCAACAATTTACAAGTTAATTTCACAGAACTGGTAAATTATTTCCAACCAACACAATAACTGGTTGTTTTGTTTTTAAACTTTTAAAACATATCAGTGCATTCAGTACAAATACAGTGTAGCTGCCAGCTGTTCACATTCAAAAGACGACAATGAAATACTGGTTTGTTTGTCTGGATTTTTTAGTCCAGAGAGCCGTAACCCCCCTGGACTGAGGCTGTTCTAGGACAATGTCCTTTTCAGCCTTGCCTTGCCTTAAAATACTGGAGGTTTTGATTAAGTAAAGGCAAAGAGCATCTTTCTTATCAGCTTCAAAACTTAATTATAAGATGGATACAACTCTTGCAAAGCTTTTTCTGAAACTACAAATTGGATTAGCACAGAGTAAGATTATTGTATTTTCATTTGCAAAGTTCACACCAACACATATAAATCGTTAGTTTATTTTAGGCTCAATAAAATTTTCTTAGTATATTTTAAAGCTCATCCAAAGAATCAAAAGACCCAGACCTATACCTAATTATGTAGGAGGGCCTATAAAAATTGGGTAACAAATGAGGTTAACAATGAGGGTACCGTAGCAAAGTCGCATAATCTTTCTAGTTCATAAGATTTAGATTGCTTAGTACAAATACATCACAATAAAACCTATAGGAAACAAAAAACATTTAAACCTGAACAGCCAATAATATAAGACAAAGATACAGAATATGTAATGTCATGATTTGAGACCAAGTAGGCTTGCATAATGGAAAAGCCGAATACAAACAACAACGCTTGTGGTTTTCTCAAATGAAAGATAAAATGTCCATAAAAATATTTTAACTTGTAAAATAAGACTGTAGTTTAGTTACATTACAAGTTTAATATGAAACCATAATCAGATTTATAGTAGTAGGCAATGGCCAGCGGCAAATTTAATGCTCACACAAATACCGACCGAGTTAGAGGTGAAATTTAACAGCCATTATAAAATTATTACTTTCATGATAAAATATGTTGGGGATCTTATTATTATTAACTAATGGAAGTCGGAAACGAAGAACAGTGTAAAAACTCAACAATTCTTGGAAGGACTTTACCTTGAGTACAACAATTACTGTCGTGGTAAAATATTAATAGATTTGGGACAACCCTAGAAATAAATTATAAAAATCTTAATCAAACATCTGATAAACCTTTTATGTGCTCTGACCGACTATGATAGTAAATTTAAAGTAATTTTTTACTAGGCTGGGGAGGTAATTAGGCCAGAAGGTATATACCTACAGATTTTTTCAGAGCACCTTCGATGCACCGCAGACCATTTGTGCGGTATAATTATAATATTAGAGGAAAAAATTGAGGTTTTGGTTTAAAAAGGTTGATTTATTAGGAGAAAAAATGAGTATGTTGTTATGAGCGGTGATTCGAGACGAATGAATGCAACAATGAAAATTGACATATGGTAATGTGATGGGAATTACAGACGGACTATTAAAAACAAAGACATATAAAATTAATACAAAAAACAAAGGCAACTTGACTGAACATACCGGCCACAACATAACAATGAGCACAAAATTGTACAAAAAACAGAGCACTGAAGAATATTTTGGATATTATTTACAACTATTTACAGGTCTTTAAGTTTTATGCCTTAGTTTTGAGGGAGAGGGAACACTTTAACAACTGGTCTAGTAAGGTAACCGTGTTGAGTCTTCAGATCAACAACCCTGACTTGTCCATCTGTGCCAGGATGCAACTGTGTGACACGGGCTAAGGGCCAGGACAAAGGAGGCGATGAAGAGTGAATCAAGACTAGATCTCCAACTTTTATGTTTTCTGTTTTATGAGTCCATTTGGATCGTTGCTGGAGTGTATGAAGGTACTCTAGTTGCCAGCGCTTCCAAATCCTTTGGTGGAGAGCTTGTACTAGGTGCCATCTTTTGAGCCGAGTTAGTGGAATATCAGCATGGTCTTCTTCTGGAATTGATGACAGCGGAGATCCTATGAGGAAATGTCCTGGAGTGAGTGCTGAACAGTCATTAGGGTCGTTAGATAATGGTGTCAAAGGACGGGAATTGAGGATCGCCTCTATTTGTGTAGTCAGAGTCATGAATTCTAGGAGAGTAAGAATGTGTTCACCCATGACACGGCGCAGATGGTATTTGACACTTTTCACTGCTGCTTCCCATAGACCACCTTGATGGGGCGAAGCAGGGGGATTGAAATGGAAATTTATTTTCCTGGATGAAGTGAAATGCAATAGTTGTTCTTCAGATTCTTTGGTGCGAGGAGTGTTTTTGATTGTTCGACGCAGTGCAGAATCAGCGCCTACGAAGTTCGTGCCACAGTCGGAATAGATATCTTTACAGAATCCTCTTCGGGAGATGAATCGTGTGAGTGCAGCGATGAATCCCTCAGTTGTTAAATCTTCTACAACTTCTAAGTGCACTGCCTTTGTCACAAAACAAACAAAAACACAGATGTAGGTTTTGATATGACGCATTCCGCGAAGATTGACAACTTTCATGTCAAATGGGCCACAATAGTCAACGCCACTGGTAGTGAATGGTCGAGCTGGAGTTACTCTTGCGGTAGGAAGATCTCCCATGAGTGGAGTAATGTTCTTTGGTTTCACTTTGAAACATTTTACACATTTATGAATACGTGTCCGTATGACTCGACGAGCCGAAAGAATCCAATAGTTTTGGCAAAGGATTGCTTGAGTCAGTTGTGGTCCGGAATGTAAGTGAGTAGTGTGGACAAAGTCTATGAGAAGATCAACGATATGGTGCTTCTTTGGAAGTACTATTGGGTGTTTGACGTTGAATTTTAGCGATAGCTTCTTAAGCCGGCCTCCCACACGAATTATGCCGGAAGCATCCAGAAAAGGGTCTAAACGTTGAAGATTAGAGGTACTGGGTTTGTTTTTGTGAAGTAGAGTCAATTCGTTCGTAAAACATGTCGCTTGTACACACTTGATGATCGTACGCTCTGAGTTCTTAAGTTCAGAGACAGTGAGATGCCCATGTCTTCGGTCAGAGCTACGTGCATTGTGGATAAACCGCAAGACATAGCTTGTTACTATAAGTAGTTTGGACCACGATGAGTACTTGGAGAGAAGATCCCATTCTGGAGGTTGGGTTGAAACTAGGACATTTAGAGGAGTAGTTTTACATTCTTGAGTGTCTTGCAAGTTTATGGGAACGAAGCGATTAGATGGCCAATGATCATCTGAAAGAATTAACCAAGGAGGGCCATTCCACCATAGAGGATGATCAATGAGTTGAGCGGGAAGCAAACCACGTGACGCACAATCAGCGGGATTGTCCGTTGAGGGAACGTAGCGCCAGGAGTGAGAGGGGATCAATTCTTGGACTTGAGCAACTCTGTTGGCAACATACGTTTTTAGTCTATATGAAGGGGTGTGTAGCCATGTGAGGGTTACTGATGAATCACACCATAATGTAGTTTGAGAAAGGTCAATCTTTTCTTTGAAAATTGTACAACAGTAGGCTGTGAGTTTTGCAAGTAAGTATGCACCACATAGTTCCAAGCGGGGTAAAGTAACACGTTTCAAAGGAGCTACACGTGTTTTTGCGAGAATCTGACGAGTGATGATTTCTCCAGTTGAAAACTCACAGCGGAAGTATAAAACTGCTGAGTATCCTACTTCGGAGGCATCTGAAAATCCATGGAGTTGTAAGGAACATGTGGTAGTGAAATGGAACGAGCGAGGGATCTTAATACTTGAAAGGAGAGAGGTTTCATCAACGAAAATGTGCCATTTTTCGGCAAGTTCATTTGGAAGAGTGTCGTCCCATTGGATACCCTGTGACCAGAGTATTTGCATGAGGGTTTTTGCCCACATGGTCACGGGTGACAAAAAACCGGTAGGGTCAAAAATGCGTGCTATAATGCTCAGCACTGATCGTTTTGTAGGAAGACCATCAGGGAGACTTAAGTTGTAAGTGAAACAATCTGAAATGGGTGACCAATGTAGTCCAAGAATGGCAAAATGAGGGTGATTAGTGGCTTCCAAAAAGACTGGCGTTTCTAGATGATCTTGAGGCAAATCTTGGAGTATTTCTGGGCAATTGGATGTCCATTTTCTTAGCTCAAAACCACCACGTGCAAGAAGTTCAATCAGCTGATCTCGTAATTGCTTAGCTTCGTTGAGTGTATGAGCTCCACAGATGACGTCATACACATACGTATTATCCCGTAAAACTTTGGCTGCTGCTGGGAAGGACCCTCCTTCGTCGTCAGCAAGTTGATGTAACGTTCTGATGGCATGGAAAGGTGAACTGCTTAGACCGTATGTAACTGTCGTTAATTTGTATGTGGAGATTTCTCGAGTCTTTTGATCACGCCATAAAATTAACTGATACTTCTGGTCGTCAGGATGAACTTGAATGCAACGATACATTTTCCTTATATCACAACTGAACACATAATTATGTGAACGAAAATTCAACAAAATGTCACAAATGTCAATTTGAAGTTTGCGACCGGTTAAAAGAGTATCATTTAGTGAGACACCGGTACTGGTTTTGCAACTACCATCAAAAACTGTACGAAGTTTGGTTGTACTACTGGTTTCCTTCAGTACACCGTGATGAGGCAAATAGTAGTGTGGCTGCGAAAGATCGGAAGGGGATGCTTTGACCATGTGTCCGAGATGTTCATATTCAGTCATAAACTGTGTATACAATTCCTTGAAATTAGAGTTGGATTCAAACTTTCGTTCAATTGAGTGAAGTCTATGTTCAGCAGCAGATTTTGAAGTGCCCAGAGGTTGATGTTGGTCCTTGAAAGGGAGTTGAACAACATATGTTCCATCTGGAGAGCGGGAGTGAGTTGATTTGAAGTGATCTTCAGCGAGGCGATCATCTTCAGAGATAAGATTGCACTGGGGTACCTCTTCTTGTTGCCAAAAGCGAAGTAGAGTATTATGTAGCTCGTCCGTAGTGGATAGTAGAGACGAATGGCATGAGGTGGGAGAAGAGTTAGACAAAGTTGGTGCATTGCCCATTAACACAAATCCCAATCGTGTTCCAATAACGAATGGAAGGTTTGAGCCCAATGGGTAGGATTGATGAGTAAGAAGTTCTGGAAACAAAGCACCTCCTATGAGAATGTCAATATTCTGAGGAATATGAAAGGTCGGATCTGCGAGGACAAAAGGTTTTACCAGTTTGTAAACCTCAAAAGAGAGTTGAGTACGAGGCAAAGGAGCGGAAATTCTATCTAGAATATGGAAAGGTTGATTTGAAGCAATCACTTCACTGCCTAGTGTGGATAGTTCTAGGAGTGCATGTCCCTTTGTCGAGGATTGCGATGCAGAGATTCCCACGATTGTGTGAGTAGAGCGGTGACGAGAGACGTTTAATAGCTGTGCTGCCCTCTCTGTCATGAAGTTGAGTTGACTTCCACTGTCGAGCAGACATCGAAAGACATGAGAGATTCCATTAGTAGCGGTAATTTTAATGAGAGCGGTGCCTAGAAGTACATGAGAAGTACATACAGACATGAGTCTGCTACCAGCCCCGCGCCGCGCCGGACCAAATCAGTATTATGATAGCGCTATCTAAATGTCAATTGTGTATTCGTACCGTATTAATGTCTTCTGTGTTCGTGTTCGTGTTTTAAATGTGTTTTTGACGAGTTGCAAGCTTTGATAATGTTGTCTTCGCAACGAAACATGTAAGCTGTTGAGCAATACCATTTTTGGACTATTTGACTGAGGTATGTAAAAAACCTATTATTGTCTTAACAATATAGTCCAGGGGCCGAAAACATGAATTTTGAAAAAATATAAACACTGAAGGATTGGTATGTTTAAAAAATTTATATAAATGTCACAGTCTTTCAGTTATTGGAGTAGGCCTAGGCCTAGATCGTTCAATGCGCCTAAGTAGTCTAGATATTGTAAATGGATGGAGTAATTTGAGGATAAGGACGACTGAGGAATAAAATCAGGGTTTCTTTATTATTTCCAGGTTGATATTGATTTACTTTGATAACTTACGATGAGTTGTCTTCATTGTCTTCGAAGAAGTACAAACATAACCTTACTTTCATTTTCATTCGTGATGTTTGAAGCTGAAGTTGTAGACGAAATGAAGTGTCGAAGTGATGAATGCGGAGCGGAGCGGAACGATGACGATGTTGAACACTTGGAATGAGAGGAGTGTGGACTGTATCGTGACGTAGACGAAAAGTTCAAAATGGCGATGCGGTATTGTCTTTGGCGGCTTCACGTTGGATGAAATACGTTCAACCGAGACATTTAAAATAACTTGAGAAAAAGTCCCACTAATGTTCGTAGATATAATCCGCGGCTCGATAGGACCAAAAATGTGCGGTATAATTATAATATTAGAGGAAAAAATCGAGGTTTTGGTTTAAAAAGGTTGATTTATTACGAGAAAAAATGAGTATGTTGTTATGAGCGGTGATTCGAGACGAATGAATGCAACAATGAAAATTGACATATGGTAATGTGATGGGAATTACAGACGGACTATTAAAAACAAAGACATATAAAATTAATACAAAAAACAAAGGCAACTTGACTGAACACCATTGGTAACCGATATCAGTGGGTCTACTGTGACCTGACCTCATAAGTAGGCTATGTTTCTGTGACCAAATTTAGGGTGTGGTTGACTCTCATGATGATGATAAAATTATTTTTTTGCATAATTTGATCTCATGTCTTAAGTAGTATTACTGCTCGTGCTTGATGATGTGAACAGTAAAAAAAAGTAATAACAATAATTCTTGGGATTTATTTAAATAAATTAGGCCTACTACTGTGTATAGATAATAGTCTGTATGAGGGGACCTATCTCCTGATCCTCTGTCTATCTGGGGACTGGCCAATTCTTGAGGCCTGGACCAGTCCCAGACAGAAAAAGGGTCAGGAGACAGATTCCATCATAAATACCATATTAGTGGGAATTGAATTTAATTTGGTAATTAAATTTGAATGTAAATGAAATAAATAAATAGTTTTAAAAATACTTAGGACTTGATTGCCACTTGTTAAATTCTTATAAAATGAAGTAGCTAACTGTTCAGTCTATGTTTGAAAGGTAGATGTAATATTTCAGGTACTTGAAATGAAAGGCAGCAAACCCAAAGAGGGTTGGGGAGATGATGCTTGGAACTCTACCCCAGCTGCGTGGAACTCTGAGGAGGAGACCTATTCAGCCCAGACCGGTACGTAAATCATCAATAACTGTATAATTTAAGACAGTGCTCGATTTGTAAAAAATTGCCGGAACTGTAACCTATTTAATATGATAAGTACCTAACCTATTTATGTACCTATTTTTGCCAGTATTTTCATCTATCCCAAAAAAGAGGTACTGGAATGCCGTTCCACCGCAAAAGGAGCTCTGATTGAAGATATTCCTGCCAACTATCTTATTAATTATCATGTCAAAAGGTTTACTTTGTATAATTACATAAGGCTAGAATCGTATCTATATTTTGTTCTTGATGTGCAACATTTTTATCGGGATTTAAATGTTCAAAATTGCACTTAACATACTTATTATAGTCTAAAAAGTAATTAGGGGTGTGCGATGCATCGAAAATGCATCGAAATTTCAATTCGAGTCGATTCGATTCGATGCAGCATGCATTGAAATCACGATGCATCGAGGCCGTCCCGATGCAACGATTACGTCCCGATGCATATTTAAAACTAATTTAGGACTCCAAAATGAGTTTTAGATAGGGATGTGTTGATTATCGATACCACCGATACTCGGACATTGCCGATACTAGGAATATCGGTATCAAGAATCGATTGCCAAACGTCGATTTCGCCCGATTACCGCCACCCGACAGGGATGGATAGATATTTTTTTTTAACATTTAATTATTTGATAGCTATTAGTTTTTTAATCACGCTAACAACTTTAGTAGCCAACTTAGAACACTATTTAGTTCAAAACAGCTTAAGCACCCTTGTTTAGCTTCAGCTGTTCACTCTGCAGGCAGATGATATTGCATAAGACAATACAATCTACATTTCAAGATGTCAGAAAGTCAGAAATCAGTCTCAGACAACCGGCGCGCAAGTGTCCTCAACACGAAATTATACTAAAAAATGTCTGTATCAATAAGTTAGACCTTTAAATGTATTATTTTTATTTTTAGAACAAAATAAATAACCTTAACTTGTCTAAATGTTCAGTTTCATCCCTGCATTACGCATCATTAGAAAAATTAGATTCAATTACAACATTGTCGACAAAATCAGAGGATTAGGCTTGCACTTGCCTATTGCACCAAAAAGTAGATCCATATTATATCTGTACTATCTACCTAGTTTAAGAGTTTATGTGAAGTTTTAAGTGCTACTATAACATAATTATTGATTGAAAAACATCATACGCATAGTCCATGCCAATTTTGTAATATTATAATGAATGGTGAATGTTGACTATCTAAGATAAATCAAATTATGTAACAAGAGTAATCATTGATCGAGAGGCCACGCTGCACTGTCATGTCAGCCAATCGACGTTCGTGTTTCGACGTTCGTGTTTCAATGGAGCAAATGACGATTGCTTTGATGTCGTTATTTGTGTGTGAGTCTATTATTGTGGGAAGGGTTTAGAGATACATTGATAAATATCAAGAACCGATATGTAGGATGTGTTTGTTTATAAAGAGTATAAAATTAGGTTACAAGTTTAAAACGGTGTGATTTTCTTTTGTCAAAGACCTAGATTTGACATTCAATTATGTTAGTTAACTAAATCTTGCCATATGGCTTTACATAATATTTTAATAAAACATCTATTTTTCCGATTATATATCCTATATGTTTATATGTTGAATATATTTGGGTCAAAACATTATGGGTGGGCGAGTACTCGACTGTCGAGTAATTACTCGAGTAGTTGGCAATACTCGACAGTCGAGTCGAGTAGTTAAAGATACTCGAGTCGAGTAGTAGACGTTAAGCCGATTTCGTTATTTTCATTGATATTTGACAAATAAATAGTAAGAAAGGAAAATGTTTGAGTTTTATTTAATCCCTTAACCCCTTTAAATATTGACATACTAGGCCTACTAATAATCGGCAACCTAGACATCGCTTGCGTCATCCATTTCACTGACAGCGACAGCGCCGACAGCTGAGCTGACACTGGGACTGGACTGGGTGATAGGCAGTGGTGTAGGTGTACGAGTGCGATGCATCGAATCCCGATTCGATCCAGCATGCATCAAAATCCCGGTGCATCGATTACGTCACGATACAGCTCTACTAGTAAAAAGGGATGATTCGATTATCGTCATCGATACCACCGATACTTGGACATTGGTATCAGTACCAAGACTCAATTGTCAAAAGTCGATTCCGATGATACCGACATCTGACAGGGATAAATATTTTATTTGAACATTTATTTACTGTATAGCAACAGTACTAGTTTTGTCATCACGGTTAACAATTTTCATAGCCAAACTATCTAGTTCAAAACAGCGACGGTGCCGGTGACATTGTTTAGCTTCAGCATTGCACAACACAATCTACGAATCTACATTTCAAGATGTCAGACTCAACTCAAGAGACAACCGGCGCGCGAATGTCCTGCCAACATGAAATTAATTATACTAAACAATGTCTGTATCAATAAGTCAGACATTTAGATGTATTATTTTTATTTTTAGTACAAAATAAATAACCTAAACACGTCGAAATTTTCAGTTTAATAATCCCTGCATTATACGCATCATTAGAAAAATTATATTCAACCATTAAACTTTAACATCGTCGTATGGTTAGGCTTGCTTTATATTGCGCCAAAAAGTAGATCCATATTTTGATCTGTACTATCTACCTGATTAAAGAGTTTAGTGAAGTTTTAAGTGCTACTATAACATAATGTATTTATTGAAAAATATTATAAGCCTTAGTCCGTGTCGATTTTGTAATGTTAAAACGATTGGTGAATGTTGACAATAAAAGTATGTAACAACAGTTCTCATTGGTCAGGAGGCGTCAGTGCACTACCATGTCAGCCAATCGACTTTCGTGTTTCAATGGAGCAAATGACGATTGCTTTGACATCGTTTAATGTTTTATTGTGGGTGGAAAGGGTATCGATAAATATCGTGATTCGAGATCCGATATGTAGGACGTGTTTGTTTATAAATAATGAGTATTTAAGTATAAAAAACTAGGTTACAGACAGGTTCAAAACTTTGATTGTTCCGATCCATTGTTGACACCCCTACACGGAGGTTATAGTGACGTCGTGCATAAGGGCCAGGCAGGCCGGTTCACAGTGAATCCACTCTGCCGAACCTTGTTCTTGGTATAATCGGGAACATAGTCAAACACTTTTGTTACTAAATAAAACTATGAAATGGTTGTTAAAAGCACTCTTTTGGTCTTTTGGAGATTTTAGTCCCAAAACATAATCTTTATTGTAGGCTAAAAGTAAAACCTATCTATTGCCATACTTTTCTCCACAGATGTCGACATAGGCTATTATGCAATGTCTTTAAAAAAATATCAGGGTTTCAGTCAAAATACTTTTGTAAACATTGACAATGTGCTGTTTTAGCACAGTTCATTCCTCGACCACGATCGTTTTTACTCACTATAGGAAAGACTCTCCTTACAAAATGTATTTGTATGCCAAGATGTTTGTAATTTTTTTTAATGTAGGCCTATAACTGCAACTGCTTTTAAAAAGAAATACAAAAACTGACAAATGACTTGGATTAATACTTAAAAAGTTAAGCCTATTTATAAATTAGAGGAAACTTTATTAGATCTCATCATAGTCAAATTCAAACATTTACAGTATTTCAAAATAATTAACACTCTTGTGTAATGGAAATCTGCAAGCGACTGAGGCCGAGGGTGAGGGAGGGCATGTGAACCAGGCTTTGGAACAAGGGCAAATTCTGCCAAACTTTCTCTTTTCCTCCCCCATGTCCAGTTAGACGGTGGGTGGGGCTTCACACAATAAACAGTTCATTCATTCACAGTAGAGAAGAGTTTTTGTGGCAGTGACGTATGTCTCTTGTCTGCTCTTCAAGTTCACACATCTGGACTTCTTTAAAACAATTATAAGTGATAATCTTTATTAAAAATAAGTGAAAAACTGTTGACATTTTCAAGGAAAAAAAGTTGAGAAATAAAAGTGTTAAACATTTTGTTTGATTAGTTATTCTGTATTTCAAAAATATCCTCATTTATGATTATGTTTTCAGCTAGACTTGGTGACTTTTTCATAGTTAAACAAATTTTGAAGATATATAATTAGTGAGAAAATGTCATTATATAGGAAGTTAGTTTTTACTCACTTGGGGGAAAAAACTTACCTTACAAAGAGTATTTTTGTAGACCAAGATGTAGGCTAGGTACGTAATTAAAAAAAATATAAACTAATGAGTTAACTAAGACAATTTCATGGAATTTCAAATAAATACAAAAATTGAGAAATGACTTAGATAAATACTTATAAGCCTATTTATAAATTAGAGGAAACTTTATTAGATCTCATTCTTTAGTCAAATTCAAAAATTTACTGTAGGCCTATTTTAAAATAAACACTTAGTTCCATATTTTTGCAATTTTTTTTCAATTAATAATAAACCTTTAACACCAAAATATAAGTTTGATACACCTACATATTGTGTTTTTTATATGGTATAACAGTTTTTAACCAGGTCTATTTTTGGTGAATTGAGAAATGCTTTTTTCGTAAAGATGAAGATAGAATATATGTAAAATAAAATTGTTGATTTTCTCGGGAACTACTCGACTCGACTCGATACTCGAGTATTAGGACTAATTACTCGACTCGACTCAAAAAAACACTACTCGCCCATCCCTACAAAACATCGATTGTTCCAATCAATCGTTGCCACCCCTTCACGCACGGAAGGAAGTTGAAGTTGTAGCATAGACTAACCAACACAAGGGAGTAGCCTATGTTTTATTTATGGTTGTAGTTACGTCGTACCCGGCTGGTTCACAGTGAATCCATTCTGCCCAGCCTTGCTCTTGGTATCATCAGGAACATAAACACTTTTGTTATTAATTAAAACTATGGAATGTTTGTTAAAAGCACTCGAAGAAACATTTTGCTGCACAGTGCACACAATTCTTTTACACTGTAGGCTGTTATGTTTTTTAGAAAAAATTGTCGCATAGTTGCACATTAACTTATTGAAATTAATTG